CTAAATAAATAGAAGCATGTGTATTCCTATGTCGAATTGGCTTGAAATTTTTTTGGCAAGCATGTACACCCAAATTAAGACCCCACGTAGGATCTTAGGTTTTCTTATTAGTTTTTTATTTATTATATTTTTCTGTGTGCTGAATGAGACAAAAGAGGGTGAATTTCATCTTAGACCCAATAGATTTTTTCATCGACCTTTACAAAATTCTTATCCCTAGGGCACATTAGAGCCTATGTTAAAGTTTGGCACCATTCTGGATATTTTCGTAGGTAGACTCAGTTCAACCTATAATTAATCGGTATCGTCGTGCGAAAATTCAATTAAACCTCAGAAAGTAGCAAACCATCTCCGGAAAATCCCAAACTAGGTGTTTCCTTCACACGTGACACGTGCAAGCCTAAGAAAAAGTTTGAGACCAATACGACACCGGAATACGTATGAACCACAGAAACCTTGATAAATTATGTTTATAGTCATGGTTTGATGAAAGGGCTCATGTACCTCTGTGAAGCATGTATACTCCGCTTTGTTCAGGTACATTTTCTTTTTTGTTTTATCCTCTGAACAAGAGTAAATACATATAATTTATTGTAAAATAATATAAATATTTGTGTCTCGATTATTTAATTCTATGATAATTAATTAATGGTCTATAATTATCAAATAATAGTGTTTCTAAACATCATCTCAATATTTGATTACATAGTCAACTATTTAATTTTAGAGAAGCGCACAAAATATATATTAGATTACATAGTTGGTGAACAACGTTCGAATAATGATTACATAGTTAACAATAATCTAACTATCTTTAGGTGCATCAACAATGAGGGTCTCATTATGATCAAGCCGTACGTAAGCAGGTACATCACCCTCTTGAAGGATAGGTAGGGGTACGTTCGCCTAAAATGGAGGCATTTCCTGATAGCCCCTATAGTCTTCTTCGTCCGTTACTCCATTGCCACTGACAATCTTCCTTTTCCCTTCTAGGACTACTTCTAGCCTTCCTTTTGTCTTGGTGTCCCTTGCATAGAAGACTTGCATAATATCTCTTGCAAGGACGAAGGGGTTGTCTCTATATGCGGTCTTAGTGAGATCAACGGTAGTGAACCCTTCGCTGTCAGTGTCGATTTCCTCGAGCCAGACCCACTGGCAGCGAAAAAGAGCTGCCTTCAATGGACCATAGGCTAGCTCCCATATCTCCTCTATGAAACCATAGTATGTCGCCTGCACGTTGCCATTTTCGTCGTGAGCATCAAAACAAACACCACAATTTTGGTATGTGCTCTTTCCATCTTGCTTTTTTATGTAAAATGTGAATCCATTGATCTCATACCCTTGGTACTTAAGATATGTACTCGAAGGTCCCTTGGCTAAGGCATCCAGTTGATTACCCAACTTTATTCCAAGCAAGCGACGTCGCAACCAGTTGATAAATTCCTCCTTATGTTTTTTTATCTAGCCAAGCCTGTGACCTGCTCGGATATAGAGTTTGCAGCAATTGCCTGTGCTCATCAATCTATGGCATTACACCCTCGGCTTGCTGGAGAACAGGGAACTATGCCTGTCTGAAAGAAACAGGGTCGTCTACTATAACAGATTTCTCCCCGATCGTTCTTTTGCCATGTAATCTTCCCTCGTGATGAGATTCTAGAACTCCGACCCTTTTGATGTCCAAATAATATGTGCAGAACTCAACGGCCTCCTCCGTTGACCATCCTTCAACCATGCCCCCTTCTGGCCTGAATCTGTTCCTAACATACCTCCTAAAAACTTTCATCAATCTTTCGAAAGGGAACATCTGATGCAGGTACATTGGGCCAATGGCTCTAATTTGGTCAACAAGATGAATGAGCAGATCTAATGAGATATCAAAGTAAGTCGGCGAGAAATGCATCTCAAGCCTAACGAGAGTTTCGGCTATGTACCGCTGCAGCTGCTCTAGCGTGGACACAACAATGACCTTTTTTTGAGACTGCGTTGAAGAATGAGCACATCTTTATGATTGGGGCGTGGACCTTTGGGGGGAGGACACCACGTAGGGCAACAGGGAGCAGCTAAGTCATAATGACATGACAGTCATAGGCCTTCATAGGGCCATAGTTAAACTTGAGTTCTCTCATGTTCACTAGCCTCTTCGGTTCGCACAGTAGCCCGTCAGGACTTTGAGTTCATTGAAGAAAGAAATAAGCGCATGCTTTTCTTCCTTTTTCAATGTCCATGACGCAACTGGAAGTTCGAACTGGCCATTCTCTAGCTCCACAGGATGCAGCTCCTTCCTGATTCCCAAGTGTTGCATGTCCAGATGTGTGGCTAGTGAATCATTTGATGTCCCCCCGGTGTCCATCAAGGTGTTAAGAGTGTTAGCGCACACGTTTTTAGTGATATGCATGGGATCAAGACAGTGGCGTACACTTAGAAATAGCCAGAAAGGTAGTTTCCAGAAAACCAATTTTTTCTTCCAAATGCTCCCATCAGGCGCTGCTACTGCATTGTCCCCCTTCCTAAGGGCAACCTCCAGTTTGTTGAGTTCTCGAAGTATTGCAGGTCCGTCTCGATATTTTGGAGCTAAGCATTTCTCAATAGTACTGTTGAAATCTTTTCTGTTCCTGCGGTAAGGGTGATCCTTAGGTAGGAACCTATGGTGTCCCATATAAACAATCTTTGAGTTATTTGGTAGATTTACCGCATCGGTGTTGTCCAAGCACTCGACACATCTAGTATAGCCTTTTGTCTTCTCTCCGAACAACGAACCTCGACCTGGAAGGTCGGTGATTGTAGCGATAAGTACTCCCTTGATTGTGACATGTTCCTTTTTGTACTCGTCCCAAACATCTAGCACACGCTTTTCAAACATCTCCACTAGTTCATCGATCACTAGTTCCAGAAACACATCGATGTCATTCCCAGGTTGTCTTGGCCCTTGGATCAGTAGTGGCATCTAGATGTACGACCACTTCATACAGACCCAAGGTGGAAGGTTGTATATACAGAGCGTCACTGGCCAGGTGCTATGATTACTTCTAACCTGGTCAAAAGGATTCATCTCATCTGTGCTCAAAGCAAACCAAAGGTGCCTTACCTCTCCACCGATGTCCTTATAGAACATAGTATTGACAGTCCTCTAGTCATGCCCATCGGCGGGGTGCCTCATGCCAGTGCAACAGCTTGGCTGACTTTGCACATGCAAACAGCCTATGCACCTGGGGAGCTATAGGGAAATACTAAACGACCTTTATGGGACCTCCTCTGGTCTTGGTACCCTCATACGACGGCCCTTCCTTGTACCGTGGAGCTTCACACTTGGGGCACTTGTCCAAATCTTTGTATTTTTCTCCATGGTACAATATGCAATCATTGGAACACGTGTGGATTTTTTCAACCTCGAGGCCGATGGGGCAGATCATTTGCTTGGCCAAGTATGTCTTTTCTGGCAACTCATTTTTTTCTAGGAGCATTTTCCTTATTATACCTAACAACTGATCGAAGCCTTTATCGCTCAATCCATTTGTCGATTTGAACTCTAAGAGTATGATGTCGGCTTCCAGTTTGCTCATTGGACAATTCCTATACAATGGTGTTTTGCCATCTTGTCTCATTTTCTCTAGCTTTCTCAGCTATCTTTCACTAAGACATCCGGTCTCTACATTACGTAGCAGCTGAGAAATGCCATTGTTATCCTCGGTGTCGTCAGCTAACATGTTCCTAAACACATTATTAACTGTGGCCATAGGTTCCGTGTTGACACCGGGTTCCTCGTCAGCATCATGGATGGCTACGTCAGGCATGTCCACATCATCGTCGTTTTCCTACAGAACATTCACACCAACCTCGCCATGCATAGTCCATATCATATAGTTTGGCATGAGCCCCCTGCTAATTAAGTGCAATCGTATAGACTCAATTTGACGAAAGTCCCTTTGATTCTTGCAATCTTTGCATGGGCAGAAGACAGGGTTCCCATTCCCAGCATAGGCTTTGGCATCGGTGATAAACTGGTTGACGCCATGCATGTACCGCTTGTCCGTTCGGGACAGATGCATCCACTCTCGATCCATCTCTGCGCAAAAAAATACTGAGACAGTAATTACAAAGAATTAATAAGAAATCGAGCTTCATGAACAACAATTGTAGCTCAAAAGTATCATTTTTGGAAAACATTATTGTTCACTAATTATTGGAAAATTGAAATTGGTAGCCCCGGCCCTGTAAATTGAAAATCGTAGTAAAAAGCAATTATTGCACAATATTGAAGAACAACTATTCTACTCTACTTCTAAGAACTAATTATAGCATCACATACTAACAATGATGATCTTGACCACCATGGAACAATTAGCTAGGAATTTAAATGTGTTCATAGACACCAACCTTTTGGATGATGGATTCACCACAATTTGAGCCTTGCACAAATGTCCAATTGGAAAAGTGCTTTCTAGAATGGAGAAAGAACTAGAATGAGAATCAAACAATGTAGCCATCAAAACAAAGCTAATTAAGTAACAAAATCAAAGGAGTGGATGTTTGTTACTAACCTTAAAGCAAAAGATCAAGCCATTCTTCAAAATCCAAGCGCTAGCTTCATGGTGAAGAGCAGCCGCAACAATGTAGGGAAGGGCCCAAACATGCACCTCTGTTCTCGGGATGGAAGAAGAGGACGGCTGTAGCCTTTTTGTGCTGTAGGCTTATCACCGTCGGTTCTTGGCTAGAACCGACAGTGATAGAGCCCAATCACTGCCAGTTTGTGGCTTGAACCGACAGTGATAAGTGGCCACCAAAACACTACCGGTTCAAGCCATAAACTGGCAGTGATGTGGTGCTTCACTGCCGGTTTTAGCGCAGCCCCAATCATTTTCTCATTTTCAAGCTCATAACCGGCAGTGAAGGTACATCACTGTCAGTTCTCACAAATCTGGCAGTGATGTCTAAATCTGTAGTAGTGATCTGTGCTTCCTTGAACCCTGCACCCGTGTTCAGATCGAGCTCAAGGAGTTCTGATGGCGGAGGTACTGACCACCATGGTGGTTGGGCCGCTGGTGTCCATGGTGAAGGAGAAGGCCTCCAGCCACCTCCTGGACCATTACAAGGTCATGGAGGACAAGGAGGAGGAGCACAAGCTCCACAAGCACAAGCTGCCCGCTGTCCTGGACGTCATCACTGATGCCAAGGAGCAGGCAACGAAAAATAGAGAGGGGGCGAAAGCTTGGCTTGAGGAGCTCCGGACCGTGGCCTACAAGGCGAACGATGTCCTTGATGAGTTCAAGTACGAGGCACTCCGCCGCAAGGCAAAGGCAAAGGGGCACTACAAGGAGTTCGGTATGGATGTCATAAAGCTCTTCCCTTCTCACAACCGGTTTGTGTTCTGTTATAGGATGGCAAACAAGCTCCGTATGATTTTGCAAGAAATTGATGTCCTCATAGCAGAGATCAATACCTTTAGGTTCAAATTCAAACCACATCCACCAATGTCCATGAAGTGGAGGCAGACAGATCCTAACATGCTAGACAATTATGTGAACATTGCAAGTGACTCAAGAGCAAAAGAGAAGAAGGAGATTGTTGATGCATTGCTTGGCCAAGGGCACAATGTGGGTCTCACAGACCTTCCTGTGGTAGGAATGGGCGGGATGGGCAAGACCACATTAGCGCAGCTTGTTTACAATGACTCCGCCATTCAGAAGCACTTCCAGGTTCAGATCTAGGTGTGTGTGTCAGAAAACTTTGATGTGGATTTCCTGTTTGAAACAATAGTGAAAGAGGTTAAAAAGAATGGTTGTCAAATGACTGGTGGTTCAACAATGGAAATGTTTAAAAGTGCAGTGAGTGGGAAGAAGTATCTCCTTGTACTAGATGATGTATGGAACCATGAGGCCAACAAGTGAGATAAGTTGAGGTCCTACCTTCATCATGGTGCCCCTAGTAGCTCAGTTTTGACAACAACTCGTGATGAAAAAATTGCTCAGTTCATGGGGACAATCAAAGCCCATAAGATCAAGCACTTGGAACAAAGCTACATAGAAAAAATTACCAAGAAAGAAGCATTTAGTGTGCAAGCACAAAAGCCTAATGATCAGCTACTCAATATGGTTGGTGATGTTGCGAAGAGATGTTCCGGTTCTCCTTTAGCTGCTACAGCATTGGGCTCTGTACTTCGTACTAAGAATACCATGCAAGAATGGGAGGCGGTATTAAACCAAAGCACAATTTGTGATGACGAAAATGGAATCTTACCAGTTCTCAAGCTCAGTTACAATTGCTTGCCACCACATATGCGACAGTGCTTTGCCTTTTGTGCAATGTTTCCTAAGGATCATGAGATTGATGTGGAAATGCTAATCCGACTATGGATGGCTAATAGTTTTATCCTAGAGCAAAAAAGAGTGTGTCCTGAAGTCACTAGAAAAAAAAATTCAATGAGCTCGCCCAAAGGTCATTTTTTTAGGAGGTGCAGCAAGACAAATTTTACAGACAAATTACTTGTAAAATCCATGACCTTAAGCATGATGTTACACAGGATTCAATGGGAAAAGAATGTGTTGCAATAGATACAAAACTGAGCTAAAGTGAGCATTTTCCATACTCCGCTCGCCATTTATTTCTATCAGTTGACATTGAAGAAAATGTTTTGAATGCTTCCATAGAGAAAGGGTCTCCAGCTATCCAGACACTAATATGTGATAGATCCGAAATAGCAGATGTGCAGAAATTATCAAAATATTTGAGGCCTGTCCGAGCCTTAAAGACACGGCAAGGTCCATTTCTAAAGCCGAAATATCTTCATCACCTAAGGTATCTTGATCTCTCAAGAAGTGATATTGTAGCACTTCCTGAAGAAATTACCATCCTGTATCATCTGCAAACATTGAACCTATCTTATTGTACATGTTTTGAACAACTTCCAAAGGCAATGAAGTATATGACTGCCCTCCGTCACCTCTAAACTCACGGATGTCCAAAGTTAACGAGCATGCCTCCAAACCTCAGACACCTCACTTCCCTGCAGATGCTTACATGCTTTGTATTAGGTACTAGCTCGGGTTGCAGTAACATGGAAGCGCTGAAGAACTAGGACCTTGGTGGCCAGCTGGAGCTAAGGAAGCTTGAAAATGCGACAGGAGCAGATGCAAAAGCAGCAAAACTTTGGGACAAGAAACGGTTGGAAGAACTAACATTAAGATGGTTTGACGATAATGAAAAGGAGGCACATAAGGAGGTGCTGGAAGGCCTCTGACCTCATGATGGGCTAAAGGCTCTGAGGATGTATTGTAGCAGTAGCAGTGGTATTTCAACATGGATGCTTGAGCTGCAAGGCATGGTGGAGCTCGAGTTAGAAGATTGCCAAAATCTCGAGAAGCTTCCTGCACTCTGGCAGTTACCATCCCTCTAGTTTCTTTACTTATGCAACCTACAAAATTTACATTGCTTGTTCAGCGGTGGTGCCCCGTCCAAGTTTTAGAAACTGAAGATGATGTCCTTGGAGAATATGCCAAATTTTGAGATGTGGTGGGATAGGAATGAGGTGCAAGGAGAGGAGCAGATATTATTTCCTGAGGTTGAGAATCTATGGATCATGCTTTGTGAAAAGCTGATAGCATTACCAAAAGCGTCGGTGATTAAAAAATCATCCGGTATAAAAAAATCATCCGGTAGAGATGGACCTGAGTGCTGTTCCCCATTTCCAGCATTGAAGGGAATGTGGTTAAGTGGTCCGGACAAGTTTCACAGATGGGTGGCCGTCCAAGGATCTTTAGGAGAACAAGTAACATTTCCTTCGCTCGAGCAACTAGAAGTTTTTGGTTGCCCGGAGTTGACTACTTTGTTAAGTAATCTGCTGCTCTGCAGGGGCAGATGTCGAAAGGGCTTCTCTGCTGCTGCACTGTAGCCGCGGCAGGTGCAGACGCCGAAAGGCTCTCTTGCCGCACTGTAGCCACAGCAGGGGCAGGTGTCAAAGTCAGCCCTGCTGTGACATCTAGTTACTGTAGCAGCCTGGTAGCCTGGCATATCTGTGTACTAGGATTAGATAGTTAGAGTTATATATATAGCTTTCTACTGCAACTCAGTAAAGAGAGCGAGTTCAGTTTTGCCATCTCCTCTGTAGAGCTCCGGCCAACGCTAGTGCTTGTGCTGTGTGTGTGTGCGCTTTGTTCTCCCTCCCTCTTCTACCTCCAGCCGTAGTGTGCGTGGTCGACAACGATGGTGAGCCATCGGCTCACCCGTGTGGGAGATCTCGGGACCAACATACTTTTCCTAAAGCACCGAAGCTAAGAAAAGTAGAACTATACAACTATAGACAGCAAGCATGCCTACAGGCTGGTACCTGATATATTACTTCTTTGTCCAGTCTGGATGTATGGGCACCAAATAAACAAGAAAATTCTGCTGAACTGGTGGTAGTACGTGAGCATAAATCCCCCCTGGGAGATCTGTGCTTAAGAGGGTGTGACCTTTTCTTCTCTGGCTCGAGTGCACTGGCGCTATGGAAATGTTTTGGACAGCTAGCAACTTTGAAAATTGCTGAGTGCGATGCTTTAGTCTACTGGCCAGAGAAATTGTTCCAGGGCCTAGTATTTTCTCAAGTGCAACAAACTGACAGGACTCATGGAAGATGAAGCTTCTCACGAGCAATCTGCTCTCGTACAATGGAGTGGAACCCTCCCTCTTCTACCTCCCACCGTAGTATGTGGTCGGCAACGACGGTGAGCGGTCGGCTCATCCATGCGGGAGATCTTGGGACGAACAAGTGGGATCAGAGCCATATAAGCGCCGTCGTCGGACTAACCGCTAGCGATGACGGACGGTTTGGAGATGGGCGACAGCAGCGGCGTTGCTGTGGCTGCCCAGCCACGACAGGAGGTCGTCGTGCGCACAGTGAGGGAGGTCAGCGACACTAGTTGGCCGCCGCTGACTCGCACCAACTATGGCCAGCGGGCGATGACCATGAAGGTCAAGTTCAGAGCCCGACGGCTCTAGAATGCCATTGACAAGGACACCGACAACGAAGAAGACGACATGTCTGGGTTGGAGGCTATCCTCGCTGCTGTGTCAGCGGATACAGGGAGCCGTTGGGGGCGAAGAACTCTGCTAAGGAGGCGTGGGAGGCCTTTGCAGCGATGCGCGTCGGCTCTGATCGCGCAAAGAAGGCGATGGCCCAGCTGCTGAAGTAGGAGTATGCCAACCTTAAGTTTGAGGATGGTAAATCGGTGGAGGACTTCTCCCTTTGCCTGCAGTCGCTCATCAGCAAGTTGAGAAGCCACGGCGTCATCATCGACGAAGAAGAGGCGATCTCCAAGTACCTCCACTCCATACGGCGAAGTACATCCAGATCGCTCTCTCCATAGAGATGATGCTGGACTTGTCCACCCTCACCATTGAGGATGTGACAGGTCGTTTGTAGGCGGTCGACGAGCGCATAGAGCAGGCCACAGCAACGATGGACAGCGGCATGTTGCTGCTGACAGAGGAGTGGGCTACCCGGAAGAAGTCTGGGGAAGCCTCCTCTAGCCGCGGTGGTGATGGCGAGCGCCGCGGCAAGGCTTCTTCAGAGAATAATAAGAAGAAGAAGGTCGACCCCAATGCCTGCCGGCGCTGCGGGAAGACAGGCCATTAGGCAAAGGAGTGCCCAAATCGCAAGCAGGAGAAAAAGGTTAAGACTCATTTAGTGTAGGCTAATGAGGATGATGAGGCCACTCTCCTGATGGCGATGTTATGTGCACTGCACGACATTGAGGCCAAGGAGAAGGGAGAGGTGATGGCGGTGGAAGGGCATGGCAAGGCTCTGAAGGCTATCAACCTCGACAAACTGCGTGCCCAAGTCAACCTTGGACGTGGGGCGATGAGCAAGAGCAGTGGTGGTACCTGGGCTCTAAGGCAGCCTTCTCCGAACTCGACGGCAATGTGACCGGCACGGTGAAGTTGGGTGAGCTCAAGGGTGGCGATCCAAGGGTGCGGCACCATCATCTTTAGGTGCTAGAACGGTGAGCACCGTGCGCTGATAGATGTGTACTACATCCCGCAGCTGCGTTCAAGCATCGTCAGCATCGAGCAGCTGGACGAGCGTGGATGCGAGGTACTAATCGAGGGCAGGATACTGAAGATTCAGGATCGGGAGCAGCGTCTTCTTGCCAAGGTAAAATGCACATGTAATCGTTTGTACCTTCTCGTCCTAAAGATGGAGTAGCTGGTGTGCCTAGTAGCATGGCACACCGAGGAGCCGTGGCTGTGGCATACCCGGTTCTGCCATCTTAGCTTCGACACGCTCGGTCGGCTAGAGAAGATGGTTTGAGGGCTGCCCCACATCAAGCACGCAGGTGAGCTGTGTGACAGCTGCCTAGATGGGAAGCAGAGGAGGCTGCCGTTCCCAAAGGCGGCCAAGTATCGCGCAGCAGACGTTCTCGAGCTTGTCCGCGGCAATCTCTGTGGGCCAATCACGCCAGCCACAAACGGTGGTCGGTGGTACTTCCTCCTAATCGTGGATGATTGCAGGCGCTATATGAGGCTACAACTCCTGACGAGCAAGGACGAGGCGGCGAAGGTGATCAAGAAGTTTAAGGCACACGCGGAGGCGGGGAGTGGCAAGAAGCTGCACGTGCTGCAGACTAATCGCAGTGGCGAATTCACTTCGGTGGAGTTCACTGCGCACTGCATGGATCAGGGTGTGGCACGACACCACACTGCATGTACTTGCCACAGCAGAATGGCATGGTGGAGGGGCGAAACCAGACGGTGGTCGGCATGGCTCGATCCATGATGAAGGCCAAAAGCATGCTGGCAAAGTTCTAGGGAGAGGCGGTGACCACGGCGGTGTTCATCCTCAACCGCACGCCCACCAAGGCCCTAAAGGGCATGACGCCGTTCGAAGCCTGGTATGGGCACAAGCCGAGCATGTCCTTCCTCTAGACATTGGGCTACATCGGCCACTTCAGGAAGGCGAAGCCGGTCCTCACCAAGCTGGAGGACAGGAACACACTGATGGTGCTCCTAGGCTACGAGGAAGGTACCAAGGCATACCGGCTCTACGACCCATGCGGAGGCAAGGTGGTTGTCTCGCGTGACGTCGTGTTCGACGAGAAGGCGGCCTAGGACTGAGATAGTCTGGGCACGAGGAAGTCGGCGGCTTCACTAGCACCTTCGCTCGTCGAGCACCGGTCATCCACGGGTGCCGGAGACACTAGAGAGGAGGTGCCGACCACTCCAAAGAACAGCAGCCGAGCACTCTGGGCGGTGCCGAGCACTTCGTGTGGGGTGCCAAGCACTCTAGGAGTGGTGCCGAAGCGGTCCTCAAAGCAGTGCCGACCACTCTAGGATGGGTGACGAGTGCTCTAGGAGTGGTGCCGAGCGGTCCTACAAAGGTGCCGACCACTCTAGGATAGGTCTGCCGAACGCTCCGATGGAGCCGAGAAGTCTTGCAGTGGTGCTGACCACTCCAAGACTAGTGCTGAGCACTCCTACAGTGGTGCCGACCACTCCAGGAGTGGTGATGAGCGGTCTAGGAGTACTTCCGAGCACTGCAGCCGGGGTGCCGAGCACTCCAGGTGCTGTGCTGACCACTTCGGCAGAACAGGGGACTCCATCGACACCGATCGAGTTCGCCTTACCTCCAAGCGACATCACCGAGTTCGTGGATGCCTTCCATGACAGTGAGGAGGTGCGGTTCCGCATGCTGGATGACATCGTCAGCGGCACAGGGTCCTCAGGCCTAGCGGGTCGGCTGCTCAATGGCCCAGAGCTGCTTCTCGTTAGTGCAGAGGAACCACCCACGTTCACGCTGGCCGAGCGCGATTAAAATTGGCGATGGGCGATGCTAGAAGAGATGAAGGCGATCGAGGAAAACAAGACTTGGGAGCTCGTCGATCCACCTCCAGGATGCCATTCGATCAGCCTGAAGTGGGTGTACAAGGTCAAGCGGGACGAGCGCGGTGCCATTGTCAAGCATAAGGCATGCCTTATCACCCGAGGCTTTGTCCAACGTGAGGGCATCGACTTCGAGGAAGTTTTTGCTCTGGTGGCGCGAATGGAGTCCGTTCGCTTGCTATTAGTTATAGCAGTAGCAAAGGATTGGCGCGTCCACCACATCGACGTCAAGTCTACATTCCTCAATGGTGAGCTTGTGGAGATGGTCTTCGTCAGGCAACCTCTGGGTTTCACCATCAAGGGAGCAGAGCACAAGGTGCTCTGACTGCGCAAGGCGCTCTACGGGCTACGGCAGGCCCCGCGAGCATGGAACGCCAAGCTTGACGCCACGCTGGGCAAGCTTGGGTTCACGCGGCGTGCAACCATGCACGAGGAGGAGCTCTTTGTCGGCATATATGTGGATGACTTGATCATCACCGGTATGCGTGCGGAGGACATCGACAGCTTCAAGTGCCAGATGGCGGCTCGTTTTCGAATGAGTGATCTCAGCGCGCTCTCCTACACCTCGGCATCGAGGTGAGACAAAGGAAGGAGGCGCTCATGCTTGGTCAGAGCGCATACGCCTCGAAGCTGTTGGATCGGAGCGGCATGGATGAGTGCAAGCCGTGCGTGACTCTAATGGAGGAGCGGCTGAAGCTGTCGAAGGCCAGTACTGCGGCGAAGGTAGATGCAATACTCTACCAGAGCATCGTCGGCGGTCTGTGCTACCTAGTCTATACGAGGTCGGACATTGCGTTCATCGTGGGCTACGTCAGCCGCTTCATGGAGGAACCCCGAGTGAAACGGCTGCTACACTATGTCAAGGGAACGGTGGATCAGGTGATCATCTTCCCCAAGACCGGTGGAAGTGGGCTGCAGCTCACTGTGTTCAGCGATGCAGACATGGCGGGGGACATCGACGGACGGCGGAGCACCTCTGGCGTGCTCGTCTTCCTCGGGTCGGCTCCAATCTCATGGTTATCGCTGAAACAGAAGGTGGTGGCGCTGTCCATGTGCGAGGCAGAGTACGTGGCGGCGGCCACAGCGGCGTGCCAAGCTGTGTGGCTGCGCCGACTGCTGGGCGAGCTGACCGGTGTGGAAGTTCACCCACTAACACTGATGGTGGACAACCAGCCCGCCATCGCCATCGCGAAGAATCCGGTTCTCCACGACCGGAGCAAGCGGATCGACGTCAAGTTCCATCTCCTCGTGGATTGTGTCGATGGAGGCGATCGGCATCAAGTTCGTCCGAAACTAGTCGGCAACTCATGGACGTCCTCACCAAGCCGCTCGTCCGCCTTCGGTTCACGGAGTTGAAGAAGATGATCGGCATGGTGGAGGTTCTAGGGTTAGCGACATGATTAAGGAAGAATTGTTAAGTAATATGTCGCTCTCCTCTGCAGACGCTGCGGCAGGCGGCGTCGAAAAGGGCTCCCTCGTTGCTACATCAGAGCCGCGGGTCAAGGCAAAAGGCCGAAAGGCTCCATCGCCGCATCAGAAGCCACAAAGTAGGGCATGCGCCAAAGTCAACCCTACCGTCACATCTAGTCACTATAGCAGCATGACACTGACATGTCTGTGTGCTAGGATTAGATGGGTAGAGTTGTATATATAGCTTCCCACCGCAACTCGAAGAAAGAGAGTGGGTTCGGTTTTGCCATTGTGTTGTGTGTGTGCGCGCTCTGCTTTTCCCTCCCTCTTCAACCTATAGCCGTAGTGTGTAGTCGACAACGACGATGAGCGATCGCTTACTTTTCATGAAGCACCGAAGCTAAGAAAAGTAGAACTATCCAACTGTGAGACAGCGAGCATGCTACAGGCTGGTAGCGAGATATATTACTTCATTGTCCAGGTCTGGATGTATGGGCACCAAATAAAGAAGAAAATTCTGCTGAACTGGTGGTGAAGACGTCGATTCTGCATGGTTCAGATCGAGGCATGGACATTTAGGCAACAAATGTCGAAGGCACATCAAACAAATTTTAGCAAAAGATTAATCAAATGAAATCGCCGCTTGCAACATGTAGTTCATCCATGTGCACGCGTACATACCACGAGCTGCCATGACGTTGGGTAAGAGGACGACGACTAGGAGGACGACAGAGACATTTCATTTGTGAAGGCGCCATTGCTTCTTATCTGGTGGAAGTTAGTACGGTTGAAGAAGATTGAGTGAACAGATTTATTGCGATCGAGTTTGGAGAAGCCTGGCAATCACGTGACTAAGAGTGAGCCTATATATACTCTTATAACAAAAAAAACTATATCACTACTTAACGGGCAGATCCATCGGATTTGCCGCTAAGAATGTTGGAAGAAAGTAACTTTAAAAATTACGGGTAGCAGGTGACAGTTGACGTACTGTTAATAACGACAACTGCTTTGTTAATGACGATGACTGCTCTCGATGCTACAGGCAACGTGAGGCGATCCTCTCCCTGCTGGGCGTCAGGCGTGGTGGTTTTCCTGCCGCGCCGTGCCGCTGCCGTCTGTCTCGGGCGGTGCCTCCCACGCGTGCGCTCGGCATGCCAGGTGGGCTGTAGCTGCACGCCCCCACGGATCTGACGTGCCGCGCCCGTGTGTTGTCTTTGGAAAAGACGGAAGCATGCGGGGATCCCAAGGCGTCGCACGCAAAAGACGTGATCGGTCGTGTGTCATGAGTTGCCTCCTCCTTCGACCGTACCGGACGGAAATGCAAACGAACAACGGAACAAGATGATTTTTTTTTTTTTTGAAGCAAAGAACAAGATGATTTTGACGGTACGCGTACAGAAAATTTATTGTTTATTATGACCGTAGGAACCGAGACTGGCGGCATTCCAAACCAGAGGATATCTTATTAGCACAGAGATATTTGTTCACGAGAAAGTAGATCTGGGCCAGTGTTGGACTAAAGTTTGTTGGCCCAAAGTGAAGCTGGATTAGGGAGAAGTGATGATGGTGAATTGGTGATGGTACTACAGGCTCGCGTGTAGGGATGAAAACGGATGGAAACTTGCAGGAAAACTCCTCCTCCGTTTCTGTTTCTATATTTTTAGTAGAGAGAGGATCGGGTTCGGAAAAAAAAAACAGAACTGAAATTGGATAGGGATATACAAAAATACGGAAACAGACAAATATGGACAAGGAGCCCAAAATTAAGTTGGAATAACATGATCAAATATTCTCGAGTATACATGAACAAAGTCACAAAATAATATACACCTCTGAAAGTTATTGGTCCAATATTCACTAGCATGCCATGTGTTAACTTGTTAACATGCAAAATTGGTGATTATTCAAGTAGTCTCTACTTAGTACTGCAAGGAAGGACCTGATCTCACCTGTACCTGTACATTAGGCCGGCTACAGTATATCAGAGGCAAGTAATTAAGCTAATACATGCTAATTCGTGAGGTTGAGTTAACGGACAGCCTTTGTGGGTTTGCAGCTGGCCATATATAACGCGCCTCACCTGCAAGCCATACTTCTATATCATATTGTTCTGGTCGATGCAACTAACCAAGCAGAGCCACTTGGCTGATAGCAACTTAATAGAAAATCAGCGCACGCGTTACTGGTTACATCTTCCTCCAAAGCAGCTCCTCGTCAGATCCACATCCACTCCCTTCACCACCCAGCAGCTGTGCTTTCCTTGCACCCTGCACCCGTGTTCTCATCGAGCTCCAAGAGTTTCGATGGCGGAGGTACTGGCCACCATGGTGGTCGGGCCGCTGGTGTCCATGGTGAAGGAGAAGGCCTCCAGCCACCTCCTGGACCAGTACAAGGTCATGGAGGGCATGGAGGAGCAGCACAAGCTCCTCAAGCGCAAGCTGCCCGCCGTCCTGGACGTCATCACTGACGCCGAGGAGCAGGCAGCGAAAAACAGAGAGGGGGCGAAAGCTTGGCTTGAGGAGCTCCGGACCGTGGCCTACAAGGCGAACGATGTCCTTGACGAGTTCAAGTACGAGGCACTCCGCCGCAAGGCAAAGGCAGAGGGGCACTACAAGGAGTTCGGTATGGATGTCATAAAGCTCTTCCCTTCTCACAACCGCTTTGTGTTCCGTTATAGGATGGCAAACAAGCTCCGTATGATTTTGCAAGAAGTTGATGTCCTCATAGTAGAGATGAATACCTTTAGGTTCAAATTCAAACCACAGCCACCAATGTCCATGAAGTGGAGGCAGACAGATCCTAACATGCCAGACAATTATGTGAACATTGCAAGTGACTCAAGAGCAAAAGAGAAGGAGGAGATTGTTGATGCATTGCTTGGCCAAGGGGACAATGTGGGTCTCACAGTCCTTCCTGTGGTAGGAATGGGCGGGATGGGCAAGACCACATTAGCGCAGCTTGTTTACAATGACTCCGCCATTCAGAAGCACTTCCAGGTTCAGATCTGGGTGTGTGTGTCGGAAAACTTTGATGTGGATTCCCTGTTTGAAACAATAGTGAAAGAGGCTAAAAACAATGGTTGTCAAATGACCAGTGGTTCACCAATGGAAAAGTTTAAAAGTGCAGTGAGTGGGAAGAAGTATCTCCTTGTACTAGATGATGTATGGAACCGTGAGGCTAACAAGTGGGATAAGTTGAGGTCCTACCTTCATCATGGTGCCCCCGGTAGCTCAGTTTTGACAACAACTCGTGATGAAAATATTGCTCAGTTCATGGGGACAATCGAAGTCCATAAGATCAAGCACTTGGAAGAAAGCTACATAGAAAAAATTATCAAGAAAGAAGCATTTAGTGTGCAAGCACAAAAGCCTGATGATCAGCTACTCAATATGGTCGGTGATGTTGTGAAGAGATGTTCTGGTTCTCCTTTAGCTGCTACAGCATTGGGCTCTGTACTTCGTACTAAGAATACCGTGCAAGAATGGGAGGCGGTATTAAACCGAAGCACAATTTGTGATGACGAAAATGGAATCTTACCAGTACTCAAGCTCAGTTACAATTGCTTGCCACCACATATGCGACAGTGCTTTGCCTTTTGTGCAATGTTTCCTAAGGATCATGAGATTGATGTGGAAATGCTGATCCGACTATGGATGGCTAATAGTTTTATCCCGGAGCAAAAAAGAGTGTGTCCTGAAGTCACTGGTAAACAAATTTTCAATGAGCTAGCCCAAAGGTCATTTTTTCAGGAGGTGCAGCAAGGCAAATTTAACAGACAAATTACTTGTAAAATCCATGACCTTATGCATGATGTTGCACAGGATTCAATGGGAAAAGAATGTGCTGCAATAGATACAAAACTGAGCCAAAGTGAGGATTTTCCATACTCCGCTCGCCATTTATTTCTATCAGTTGACATTGAAGAAAATGTTTTGAATGGTTCCATAGAGAAAGGGTCTCCAGCTATCCAGACACTAATATGTGATAGATCCAAAATAACAGATGTGCAGAAATTATCAAAATATTTGCGGCTTGTCCGAGCCTTAAAGACACGGCAAGGTCCATTTCTAAAGCCGAAATATCTTCATCACCTAAGGTATCTTGATCTCTCAAGAAGTGATATTGTAGCACTTCCTGAAGACATTACCATCCTGTATCATCTGCAAACATTGAACCTATCCTATTGTGAAAGTCTTCAACAACTTCCAAAGGCAATGAAGTATATGACAGCCCTCCGTCACCTCTACACTCACGGATGTCCGAAGTTAACGAGCATGCCTCCAAACCTCGGACACCTCACTTCCCTGCAGACGCTTACATGCTTTGTATTAGGTACTGGCTCGGGTTGCAGTAACATGGAAGCGCTGGAGAACTTGGACCTTGGTGGCCAGCTGGAGCTAAGGAAGCTTGAAAATGCGACAGGAGCAGATGCAAAAGCAGCAAAACTTTGGGACAAGAAAAGGCTGGAAGAACTAACATTAAGATGGTCTAACGACAATGAAAAGGAGGCACATAAAAAGGTGCTGGATGGCCTCCGACCTCATGATGGGCTAAAGGCTCTGAGGATGTATTGCTACAGTAGCAGTAGTATTCCAACATGGATGCTTGAGCTGCAAGGCATGGTGGAGCTCGAGTTAGAAGATTGCCAAAATCTCGAGAAGCTTCCTGCACTCTGGCAGTTACAGTCCCTCCAGTTTCTTCACCTGAGCAACCTACAAAATTTACATTGCTTGTTCAGCGGTGGTGCCCCGTCCAAGTTTCAGCTGAAGATGATGGCCTTGAAAAATATGCCAAAATTTACGATGTGGTGGGATAGGAGTGAGGTGCAAGGAGAACAAGTAACATTTCCTTCGCTTGAGCAACTAGATGTTTTTGGTTGCCCAGAGTTGACTACTTTTCCTGAAGCACCGAAGCTAAGAAAAGTAGAACTATCCAACTGTAGAGAGCAACCATCCCAACGGGTCACAAGAGAGGTGTACTTAACAGGGGGAGATCTGTACTTAAGAGGCAGAGGGTGTGACCTTTTCTTCTCTGGCTCGAGTGCACTGGCGCTATGGAAATGTTTTGGACAGCTAGCAAAATTGGACATTTATGAGTGCGATGCTCTAGTCTACTGGCCAGAGAAATTGTTCCAGGGCCTAGTATCCTTGAGGACGTTAAAGATTAGCAAGTGCAACAAACTGACAGGACTCACGGAAGATGAAGCTTCTCATGGGCAATCTGCTCTAGTACAATGGAGTGGAACCCTCGTGCCACGTCTGGAGTCCCTAGTGATACGTGGCTGCGAATCTTTGGTACAGGTCCCAAACCTATCGACATCTCTCAAGAAGTTACTTATTTGGGAGTGCAAGAGTCTCAAATCCATTGCATTCGGTGAGCAGCAGGACACGACGGGGCTGGAAACGTCATCATCATTGATTGCTGCAGGGTCGTCCTCGTCCAGCAATGAGGATGAATCCACGGTGTCTACAGCTGTAGTACAATCTCTAGACATAAATGACTGCAGTGGCTTGACAGAGGTTGCCAACCTTCCTCCGTCCATCAAGACCTTGACGATTTGGGAATGCGGCAGTCTTGTTTCCCTGTCAGGAGAGGTCCCGTCGTTGGAAGAACTCGAGATTGGTGACTGTGGATGCCTGCAATCCTTACCGAATGGACCTCATCAAGTATACTCATCTCTCAGAGTTCTTAGGATTACTCAATGTCCTGGTATAAAGCAGCTTCCACCGAGCCTACAGCAACGTCTGGATAACCTCGAGGAGAAATATCTAAACCCCCATCTTCTTCAAGGTAATCTCTACTTAATTTCTTGTGCTTTCATTTTAACTAATTTAATATAAATGGCCAGGAGCTCGATTGTTATTATTCTAGTATTAGTTATCACAAGACGTGACGCGATGTACAGATAAATAAAAAACCTTAAAATAATGAAGTGTGCAGAACATCTATTCAACCATGTACAGAAGATTTAGTGAGCCATGAAGTGCACGCATTGATACACAGATGGGTAAATACGTACGTACATGCAAAGTTTAAGAATCAACACGCCGGCCACATTAATACTTACATAGATATCTTTTTGTATATAATATGTCACTTTTTGGTCCCTACATATACGAATTTAGGAGACTATAATAATAGTAATAATACTTGGACGGTGGACCATGGCACTTCACTAGCAATGTCTCTAATTCCACATTCATTTACATGCATAAATTATAGCATCATCTATGATCAGGGCCTGCAGAGCCGGTGCCTACAGGGATAATTGCAGCATTAATGAGTAATCTGGAGTGCTTCAGATTGAGAAGTGAGGACTAGATGAAAGTTGCAACCAAGGTTCGTTATATCAACATGCTTAATGAATTCTCTTTTTTACTTTTGGAAATTCCAATGATGCTGACTTCCTCGTAGTATCGTTTCCAGAATCTGCAAATGATTGGTCGTTCTTGCGGCACCCTTTCTGAAGCAAATTAATCTCCGGTGAAGTCGTCTGATTGATGAATGTATTGCATAAACCTTTCTTAGTGAGTAAATAAAGTCGTCTGATTGGAGAATGTATTCTCCAGTAAGGCTAATCTTCCAATAAATAAAGTGCTCAAAGGTGAGAGGGCTACTACTGCAAGGAAGGAGCTGATCGCAGGCCCTGATCGAGTTTGAGCAGAGAGCAAGTCCTATAGACTGCAAGCTGAAGAATTTATTTAGCAGACAGAGCTCCAGGCTAGCTCTCCACCATTTCTTGGACCTTCTGTTTTCCTGTTGAAATGAAATGTGTTTGAGTTTGCATTGTGCTCTAGCACAGTAGAAAAAAAACACAGGTAGCAGTTCAGTGATGTACTATTTTCCCTACATGACTACGTGGCGAGGATAACTGCCAGGCAAGCTGCGAGTGCGCTGTTTCAGTTCAGGGCAGCATCACAAATTAAAATCCAACTAACTACTGGACCTGGACTTGGGCTGCACACGACAGCTTGAGGACAATAACTAGGTGGTTCATTGTAGGATTGTTACCAGACTGCACATGCACCCTGTTCGGTTGGCATGAAACGGCTTGCTGGGCTGGATGTGCTTGGGCTTATCAGCCCAGCCGTAGGTAGCCCAGCCCTAGCCGAATGGCTGGACAAAAAGCGACGCCAGGCACTGCGTGCAACTTCCTCCCTCCTCTTTTCCCCTTCGCTTTGCGCGGCTAGGGTTCCACCGCAGTCTCGCCGCTCGTCCGTGCCTCTGCGCGCGAGTCTCGGCGATCGTGACCGCCGCGTCGCCGGGCCCCATCATTGGTCAGCAGATCGGTCCTCGCCCTCTTCTGTACGCCATGACGCCGAGTCTCGCCGTCGATAGCCTCGGTGACATTGAGCTCCGCCTCCCTCCCCGAACCCGCCTCCAGCGACGCCGACTGCTTCCAGCAAGGTACCCCCCGGATCCCACGCCGCCGTAGTCTCACCCGGTCGGATTTGAGCCCCACGGCCTCGTCTTGTAGGTTTCCGCCGCGCCCCACCCCCCATCACCGCCACGACCCGGTCAATGGCAGCTCCTTCCAGGTGTTTCTGATCCGCCCACTGAGAAGGTTTGTATTTCAGATCTATGTTGAACATAACTTTTTTGATCATACATAATTTATTGTTGACGTGTTCCATCCTGTGTTGCCTCTGAATTGTGCAGGATGACGAAGCTGGTGCAGTCCTAAATTGGTGATCAGTGTTGTAGTACGTTCTTGTACAATTACAAACAAAGACAAGACTCTATTAATTGGTGTTCTAGGTTCAGCTCGACCTATAGAAGGTTAGTAATTCACGTGTCCTTTAGTAAACTACTTATTGCTAGTTTATGTTCTTGGATCCTGAGAATACTGGTTGTCTTGTATACATGCATCACAAGAGCTCGATAGTAAATATCCTGCATTGTACGATGCTAGTTGGTTTTGCAATCATCTTTCATATTGTAATAGTCTAGCCGCTTGTCCTCCCTGTGCTTAAGAAAGGGCGTTGTTTCCTTTGATTTGAGCTATCTTTCAAATATGCTACCATTAGTGGTGAGTTTGGCTTACTCTCCTCTCTAATTGTTATATTTGTTTTAACTTAGTTGTTGTAATTGCTTTCTTGAGTTTGTACCCCATTTGTATTTTGATAACGTCCTATTTCTATGTGTATATCTGTTGGCGGCTACAAATTTGAGTTCATATGTCCTTGTTGCCTAGTTTACAAATAATAATCTTGTATGGTTTATAATGTTCATATGCACAACTTGGTAGACGGTTTTAAGAGTACTATTGCCTGCTGTTCATGCATTATGTTTTGTTGAACCTAAACATTATGCTCTATGTTTATGCTGCAGAGAATTCAGGGACGTTTCATCCGCTGGTGCTCAACGCTGCCCACACTGGCAGCGTCGTCGACTTCGTCGTGCTCTCCACCTGCAGCCAGGTAGTACAACCTCCGTTCAAAACGCTGCAAGCGTTTTGGAAAGGCAAGTTCCATTTTCCTTTGCCCAATCCCTTCTTTGCGTAATGCTAGGAACATCTTTTTTCTATTTCCATAGCATCCATGTACATAATACATCGGAATGTCGAACATTGCATCAGATGAACTATGATCTTGCTAGCTGGGATGATAGAACCTGCTCATTGTTTCTTGAGCTAATCACTCAGTAGAAAAACCTATGTCACTGGGGCAACAATACCCCAACCCCTATGGGGTGGACAAATGTCCATCGTGCCTTTAACGAGGCCACAAGGCTCGGGTACAACAAAAACAACTCTAGAACAAGTACAACGAGCTGAAAAGGACGTATTTCAATTAGCGCGATGGTCAAATCCATACTGGGCTAGGCCGTGACCCGCATACTGGAGAGGTGACAGCTGACCCGGTTGGTATGCCGCAGGCATCGGGGTACTAACTACACCCTTTTCATTGACTCTTTTTAGCATTTAGGTTCACACTAACTGACTACTAACATGGCCATCCCTGGATCACATGCAGGAAAGTAGCCAAACCGCTTGTGAGAGGTTCAGACGTCCACAATGCTGTGAGCAACTGATCTTGATTTTGGGACGTACCCCACGTGACAGGGGCGAGTTGGTATCTATAGGGGGACAACAACCTGACTGTACACCTAGTAGTGCAAGCCCTCAGACTCCTCAAGCCTTGTCCGACGAGCCCGTACAACCACGTAGTGTTGGTCAGTCCTCCAAGAGAGTCACTAGGGACCATTCCGTTAATAGTCCTCGCAATAAGAAGAGTAGCATGACTCCAACCCTTGATGATTGCCTTGATGACCTGAGAGACATTATCAGGGATACTAGGGCGCATAAGGCCCATCAAGCCACTGATGCTGAGGAGATGACCCAAGTCAATCAGATTCTGAAGCAAGATGGTTACAACGAGAGTGATGTAGTCTTGGCCCAAGCCCTTAATCTTTGCAACAACAGGCTCCATTGTCGGGCTTTTCTTGATTTGGAAACAAAAGAGGGCTGGCTAAACTGGGTGAATGTCTCATGGGACTTCGTTTTCTCCAAGTCCAAGTGATCAGCAGCATACTTCCTCCTACGGCTTCTTTAGTTGTTTTAGTTTTCCAGCATGAGCATGTTGAGTTGTTTATGTACCTTGTTAGCGTTATGTTCTTTTTGTTCGTTGTAATAAAGACCGTTGTCGAGAACTATGTTCACTTGGATGTGTGGCATACTGTGAGCATTCTAGTTGAAGCGCCATCTGCATTCAATTTGATGTCAATTTCTGATTTGAGCATGTTTAGTAAACTTTAGCCGTAGGAGATGGTGGGTCCTAGAAATTACATTAATTGACTGGTCGTGCTTTGCAATGATTATCATATCATGCTTTGCAATGGATAATTATTTGTGGTTGTGTAAGTATGTACCTAATGCACTGTCGTATGAGCTGTCGGAGTGGGTGGATCTAAATCGTGGAACACAAATAGCTGTAGTAAGGGAGCTGATATCAACTATTGTCTGGACTAGAATATGATTGAGGAAAGGTGATGTAATGAAGCTACTTGAGTACTTCAATTTAAGTTAGGTATTTACTGAATGCATTATGTGTGACAATTGGTACTGATCGCAGGAGTAGGACGTATAGGCGGAGGTGTGTATGTGGTTCTGATTGCACGTATGTGTGCAGTTTGGTTAGTGGCTTCATGAAGTCCAGAATTTTTGTATATGTTGCATACATGCCTAATTTGTTAACCCTAGTGTATGTTGTATTCTTTTGTTGTATGGATTGGACAAATGGACTGTTATTTGTTGGTTGTATGTAAGGACCAGTGAAGGTTGATGAACTGTTAGGTATGAACTAGAAGTGGACTGTTTATGAATGGCCATTGTTGTTGGTGCCTTTTTTGTGTTTGAATTTGAAATGGCTATTCAGTCGATTTGAAATGGCTGGGGGCTGGCTAGATGCTGGATGTTGCTGCTTGGCTAGCTGGTTCAGCACCAGCTCTAGCTAGCCAATTCAAGCCTACCGAACAGGCTGATGATTGGTCGTTCTTGCGACTCACGGGAAAATGTATTGCATACCCTTTCTGAAGCTAATCTCCATAATTTCTTCTGATGCAAGAATGTATTGCATACCCTTAGTTTCTTCTGAAGGTAGTTTAGTTAGCACACGTAGCTCCGTGCTAGCTCTCCATTTCTTGGTCCTATTGTTTTCCTTTTGAAATGTAATCGCATAATTTCTTCTGAATAAGATAGCAGTCCCATCCCATGATGTATTATTTTCCTACATTGACATGGTGGTGGTGTATGTGTGTGTTGGGGGGTCAACAGCATATATAATATCGTTGTCGTCCAAAGACAACTATTTTAAGCTGAACTTGGTGTGCAATCGACAAGTTCGGTTTAATTTCAGCAAACATCACAAAGCTAAACTTGGTCTGCATCAACAACATATATATATATCGTCATCGTCCGCAAGCAAGCTATTTTAAGCTGAACTTGGTGTGGACCGACACCGATGTGTTCGGTTTAATTTCAGCTTACAAGACATTTCGTAGGTCAAACGTCAAACTTTATAATTGTAACCAATAATTTGGCTAACAACTTTTAACTATTGTAATACAAACTTGATAATTTATTAGATTTGTAATTAAATCTGATATCAAATAATCAAAAGTTTCAATAAATAATCGAGTAATTTAGGAGACATGACATGTCGGAAAGATGCCTTATAAACTAGACCGGATGGAGTATATATCTAAAAGACACATAAGGCGAAAGCAACATCGGTGCTCAAATGTTCAACGACAAAAAACTAGGACTATGGCTAGGCTTACAATTAGCACTGGATTATAGTACATTTAACTTGTTTGAACACGAGGACAAGGCATGCCAAGTCAAGAAAATATTACATCAAAATGACTTAGCTAAAACTCCAGGAAAACCAAAGATGCTCACAAACCCAACATCATAAACCAAACTAGGAAACACCCAAAGGTTATCTGAGTCGACCGGGATTGGCATAGGGATAAGCATCAGGATACACATCGGGCCTCCAATTTCTACTAGACACTGCCTGACGAAGCTCGACCACAGTCCAAGGTTTATCATTCTTCTTAGACTAGGTGGCAACATAGATACAATTACTCTTTCCTCTCCATCTTTCAGGGTCCGTGCAGCAAAATGCCGGGTTCCTTTGATCAAAGCTTACAAAGATGGCATGGTTTCCCAAATTCTCCACCTTCACCCACTTAGGTGGTACGATGGAGAAATCAAGCCTGAAAACTCTAAAGAAGACAGTACGCCTATCAGTGCTCATTGAGAGGTCAACCATGAGAAACATGTCACTACATACCACCAGCCAATACATCACAGCACGGCCCAAAACACTATCTTCTCTCCAGTACTTTGTCCAGTCAATATCTACTTCATGTATGCTTAGTTGAGGTGCCAAGCGAATGGTGTGAAGCCCATCCAAGTGATCCCTGGCAAACATCTCACCTTTAAAAAACATGATTCGAAAGATGCTTGGGATATCCAGAGGATGCTCCAACCAAGACTTAGACCCAACTTGCCACTAGAAAATGGATGACCCTGAGCAATGGAAGAGATGCGAGTTGGGTGACTTGAAGGAACCATGAAGGATTCCGTAGTAGATCTCATGCTTGCCTGTCGATTTCAATTTGGGAGGCTTCATGGTAGTAAAACCAAAAACATCTACAAGGAGGCACTGATTCGAGTTGGAGAATATAAGATTACCATATGAGCAACCCAAATAGTGCATGCAGTTTGGATGGTTGTGGAGTGGCAACAAGCGACAGGAGGAGGATAACTTTACAGGATCGGTGAGCTGCCACTCACAAATGTATAGAAGACTGTACTTGATGCGGCTGTGGCCGCGATGAGGATAATGGATGTGAGATTGCAGGCAGAGAGGTGGGACATTTTAGCTCAATGTAGATGGGAAGGATGTGAATGCAGCGCGCCAAGAGCGGCAGGTTGCAGCAAAAGCAATGATGTCATTGGATGAGCTAAGGAGAGCAATAATTTGGTGAAGCAGACAGTCCAGGAGATCTGCCCAAACATTGGGGCTGGATATGATAGAGGATGTACAGCTCTTACTCGAGGCATGGCAGGGCTTCTTAGATGACCTTTTTGCAACATCATTTTTCCTGTCAAACACAAGGAATTCAATACATGTTGATCAGAACAAAGAAAGCAGAGAGCACTATGATAAACTGTTAGAAATGTAACAAGATCTTTCTATACACTAAGGAAAACAATGATTTCCTTCCATTTTGTTGAACTACCAGCATAATAGCACGCATATCAACACACTAAACTTAAAATAGTAATATTTTTAGAATCACAACAAGGGGTATATAAATTTGCTTCATATGTAAGTCCTCAAGATGAATAACATGAAGCAATAGAACATAAAAGGTTTTCATAACACACCAAGTGCAGGATTCAGAGCAAGCCCAATCACAATGTAGTGCAGAAATTAATTGATCTCCCACTATTCGGTAGATCCCAAAATACCATAACAAACAACTACATAAGCAACCTGCAGTGCCAAAATTAACCCCATATGTCCTATGTGCGATGTATCAGAGGTTTAACATCTGCACTCAATTACTAGACCGAGAGCACAATGGCAGGCTCGACTTTTTTCTCTGACATGTTATAATCTTTAGTTTAGTGATTGAAAGCATCTAGGCCCCTAGTTGGGTTTCGGTGATTAATGACAACAAGTGATTACTATGACTAACGTGTGTTTTGCAGAGGCAATTAAGTTAGGTCACGGTAATTGAGATCGATTGGGCAATTATGGTGGTCATACCCCTACGATGGAAATCGTTTTGGTTTTCAAAGGTTGGACGACAAGGTTAAGGATGGACTAGTTCTAAGTGTCATTTGGAGTTGAAGAGACACTTAGGGTAGTTTAGGACTTTGTTTTTCCTTTGGCCGTACTATTAAGGGGGGTATGGATGGGTAGCTTGACCTAGGTGAGTCTAGTGAGTTAGGTGTGGTGCACACTTGTTAAAACTAGCACTACGTAGCTCCTACATATGCCTAAGATCCTTTGGAGCAAACTTCATTCACATATGATCGAGAGTTGGAAGTGAATGGAGGGTCAAATACTGACCAGACGCTGGTTACGGTTTGACCGAGCGCTGGCGCAGAGTCCGGTCAGTTCATTTGACCAAGGTGAAAACGTTCGGTGCGACCGGACACTGAGAGGTGAAGTGATCGGACGCTGAGGGCCAGCGTCCGGTCGACTCTAGTAAGGTTCCAGAGAGGGAAAATTGTGACCAGACGCGTCCGGTCAGTGTTGACCGAACGTTGGCCAACGTCCGATCACACTGTAAACACTGGAGATCGGGGTGTACTGACCAGAGCGTTCGGTCAACATGACCGGAGCGTCCGGTCACCCCGTAGAGGCACATAACATTTTGTTTTTTAGCCCATGTTATAAATACCACCTCCACTCATGTGTGGGGGTACTTTTGCACATTCCAACAGCTGAGAAACACCTTAGAGAGTGCCAAGAAGAGCAAGGTCCTAGTGAGGTGATTGAGATTTGAGAATCCTAAAGAGTGCCCTCATTAGTGAGATTAAGAGTAGCAAAGTGTGCATCCACCCTTCTCATTAGGCTTATCGCGGTCAAGTGAGAGTTCGTGCTTGTTACTCTTGGTGACCACCATCACCTAGATGGCTTGGTGGTGATTGGGATCTTAGTCATCATTCGGAGAGCTTGTGGATGGCCCAACTCAAGTTGTGAGCAGTTGTGGGTGATTCACCACAACGGAGTGTCAAAGAATCAACCTGTAGAGAGCACTTGATCCTTGCGCGGATCAAGGGGGAGCTACACCCTTGCGCGAGTGCTCCAACGAGGACTAGTGGGGAGTGGCGACTCTTTGATACCTCGACAAAACATCACCGCGTTCCTCCTTCTCTATTTACTTTGAGCATTTACTTTGAGTAATTACTTTGAGCATTTACATTGAGCAATTCAAATCTTATCTTTACATTCATAGAATTGCCATGCTAGAGTAGGATTGGAACTTAGGTTGC